GGCAAACTGCATCACCTTACACTTTTTTAACATTGTATTAAAATAACCATTTTCTTGACCACTCACAAAGACCGAAGTTCTATTTGGTCCAGGTGACTAAAAATACACTTGTACAACTTAGTGTCATCCGCAAAGAGTTTACACACTGACTTAACCACATCTGGCAGATCATTAATAAAAAGTACAAAAAGAACTGGCCCCAGAACACAACCTTGCGGTATAACAACAAAAGACGCGCTAGCATACACTGTGTTGTTAATGATTTTCTTGTGGTTTTTCATATTGAATTCCATGTAATAATGATCATGCTATCGAGTACGAGTCGCCGCATTGGAGGGCTTTGTGTGACCTACATGTATATAGTGACTTTCATAACTTTGTGTGAGTTTGGCTGTGATACAGGAGTTGGATCAAAATCGGTGTTATTGTCTGTATACTACGGGGAATTCAGCATCGAATTCCTCCACATCCCACATAACAGCGGTAGAATAATATTCTTCATGTTTCCCCCCCCCCCCCCCCGGGGTGGATGCATTTTTTTTTTTTATAAATGACGTTATCGGGACGAATATGGGTATTGTTTTTTTTCAGCAATCTGGTCTGAGATGGTGTATATCCGTTTATTAGGGGCGCATTTTGTTAAAATTAAAAACATTTATTTCGTTTTTAAGTTAAGGCGATGTTTGTTTTTGGGAAAAAACTGAAATACTTTATGCTCATTACTATATAGTAAAGTTCCTTTTTCGAGAACAATATTTATCTCGTTTTTACGATGAGGCGAAGTTAGTTTTTTTCGAGAAAGAAAAATAGACTTAGTTTTACAAAAAAAACAAATATGATATGCTTATTACTATATAGTAACGATCCTTTTTCGAGAAAAAAAAAGTAAACGAAAAACCTGTGTACTTGTCACTTCAATTTCATTCATTTCACTGAATTGTAACACAATTTAATCTGTGATCTGATTAGGTTTTTAATTTGAGATAAATTTGCAACATAGTTCAGGATATTGTTGAAAAGTGGCCAAAAATATGCTGTGTAATCTTGTGGGATATTTTTAGTCAGGTTACACGTTGAACTGGGTAACGTGATTGGGCTTGTAAAAGAACTTGTCCACAAACGACGAGTGTAAGAGCCATACGTATCTTCCGGATATAACTATTCAGTGGTGTTTTTATAGTGATGTTCTTGAGACGCTTGCACTTATTTCAACCATGGAGGTGAAAAGAGACAACCATGTTAATCACAGCAGTTCCAAACGAGCAGCGTAGCCACAAAAAGAGAAAGGGCATTGGGTGAGGGAATTGCGTTTGCGGAGACTTACATGTACTTTATATACTAGCATGTACCAAACATTTGTAAAAACAAAATCAATTTAATTTATGCCCGCATGAGGGCATATTAAAATATGCATTTTTGTTGTTGACAGTGTTATTTTAACGCAGTGAAAAACGCTCTTCAAACAATCACGATTTAGTTAGTCGATAGCCGCTCAGCTTCCAGGTAAATTTATTATAAAACACCTACATTATTTGTATCTTATGAGCTAACTAGTATTACATAATGCTTATACAATTTTATTACAAGATTAGCATAAACATTACAAAAAGAGTAGAAAGAAACAGTGCATTATTACAAAATGCTGCAGTTCAGTCTACACAATTAAAATAGAAGACAGAGATATCACAATAATTGTTTTACCAACTTTTATTATTTTCAGTACCCTAGATTTAAATTGTTACACAGTTAATTCATTATTTTAACCCATCACTGTGGATACTGTAAATATTTGTGAAAACAGTCATGGAGATTTATTTGTAATTGACAGCAAAACAATGGTTTTAGTTGACTCTGGAGTATACAGTGTTTTAGGGAAGAGGTAGATTTGTGTTGCTACCCTGTCTACCTCTCCTACATGTATACATTACTGTCAATATAGAAACACATCCCCTGTTACACACACACAAAATAAATAATCATCTTAACTCTTCACCACTATTACCTATTAAATGTTCTTTAATACATGAAAATAGAAATACAAAAAACACATCCATCCATACCATCTTATAACACTGTTATAATATTTGCTCTATTAGTAATGTATGCATTTACATATATTATGTATAAATTTGTTCCATGAACAAAATAAGTCGTATTTTAATGATTTGATATACAGTCAATGCAAATATAGTATGTATAATATCAGGCAAATAAATATTTCACTAATGGATACATGTGCAATGCTTTATGCTTACCATTGAATATAATAGAAACATATAATTACACTGGAAAGTTACTAAAAAAAATTTGCTCAATATTTTTTTTTTCAATATTAGAATTCATACCATATATGCTTATTTTAAGCCTAGGTTTGAACCCCAAGATATGCAGAAACACTTTCATGAAATAAAATCAAAATGCAAATTTTCAGCTTTTACAACTTTCTTGGTGGCCTAATTTATTATTTAACATAAATGATTTGCACAGATTAGTTTAAAAAAACACATTTAATTCCATAAATTTATGAATTGACATGGATTCATTGAAACTAAAATGGCATGTAGTTACTATAGTGTTTTTGACAGGAATTTACAGTGTTAGTGGTACACATTGAATGTAGTAAAATCTGTTCTTGCATACCAGGGTAACTTCTTTTACCTCTAAGCATACAAGTATCCTCAATTGATACACTAAATAAGCCTCTTGGATGTATTTTTAAATATGTGTAAACCACAATAATAATATCCAGTCTCTGATTTAATAAAATATTCCGGAGTATTATAATCAATTTGTATACATCTGTAGTTGATAACAAAAGTGTAGCTGTGTTGTTTCAACAGTCACACCTATGATCAGCAACTCATATTTTAATCTGATTAAAATCTGATGTAGGTATGAGGCTCCAATTTTTTTTTTTTTTTTTAATCACCCTTTTTATAATATTTGTATTTTAGTTTGAATATGTTGATTTTTTGGTTTTTCTTGCCATTAATCAGTTTTAGAAAATCATGTCCCAGTCACCTCTAACTAGACTATTATATAAAGGGTCATTAAAAAAAAAAATTAAAAAAATTGGAGCCTCATACCTAATGAGGATTTTAATCAGATTGCTTATATTTGACACTCTGACTTGTGATATAAGTGTGGCTGTTACATTTGAAACTCACTATATGTACTGTCATAATTGTACATTTAAGCCAAAATTGTATTTATTGTACACTGGATAATTATTTTCACAACAGAATCACCACTGTAATGTACAGTCAAATGTGTTTCTGATAGAGCAAAAATTAAATAGAATATTTGTTTTCTTTCAAGGCAGCATACTAAATTCTTACCAGAGCGTCAACCTCTAGGAGTGTGGCGTATACCTTGATTTAACTCTTCTTAAGTAATAATTATAATAATATTAATAGAGTTTATAGTTTCACCCGGTTACCTGAAGACATGTATACTGTTATGAAAATCGGTTTCCTGCTTATTATGTGATTAGGAAAACTATTGCACTGTGTTAAACTAAACATGTGATGTAAAAAACTGTAAAATTTACTTTATTTTAGCTGTCATTTATTTTCACTGAAAAAACATTTGGCTGTTTTATTTGAAGTTAATTTTCACTGATTGTTGATAAGTTAAAATTTAAATAAAAAAAAAAACTATTTCCATTGAATATTATTTTCACTGATGAATTTAAAGTAAAATTAAATCACTTTACAGTATAGTGAAACAGTGATAAAGTACACTGGGTGATTTATATGTTAATAAACAATTTATCACCCAATTATTATACATCTGAGAAACCAATAAAATTAAATCCTATGTTACCTGGCACATCAAGCCTCCACCAAACGTCTACATTTTGTCTTATCAGCTGCTATAGGGGATTAAAATCCTATACAGAAATATTTGAATGTCCCTCGATTTGACAAATGTGAGTCACCCTTTATCACCATACTGTCTTTATGCACATTTTGTGATATTCTCTTAAAAAACTCTTATGATTCAGTCACAATAGTTCTAATGAAGTCCTTGTACAGCAAACCACTAAGTTTCAAAAATTTTGCAAATTCAAACGCATAATTTTGTAGCAATTAACAGTATATTAAGATCCTAAAGCCTTCAATTATATCACAGAAAATTTGATAGACATAATGAGAACTCAACAGGTCACAGTACATGTTGAAACTACCGTAACGTAAACTGCTTAAATTTTGAAAAACAAACTTTTTAAATTGAGGGAAAAATGACGAGATATTGTAACATCAAATCTTTTTCTGTTGTCCTTAGAGTTACAGTTACTTTTACTTTTACATTTTGTCCACACAAACGTTTTCAAAATAAATTGGTGCGATTCTGCGAGACAAATTTCGCCTTGAGTCGGGAAAAATAATTAAATATTGTGAATAACAGTGAGTAACAGTGAATACAAAATTATCATAACAAGGGTTCTCAGCTTAATATAATGCATATATCACCCGTCTATTATAATACAAGGCATCAATGTTCATAATAAATACATGTAGTACTGTATTTTTTTTAGCACCCTCTGTGTTACAATATAATACATTTTAAAGAGATTAACTGCTGCAATAGTTTTAATATATTTACAGAATGATTAGAAATCAAACTTGAAACTAATTTTAGAGGAAATTCACGCCAAGCTATAGACACTTTACGCCATTGTTTGCCTTTTCTATCACTTTTTGTGAATTTTGAACCAAATAGATTAAATTTCCTATTATCAACATTATAAAAAAAAATATGGAATAAAATTATCTAGATATAAATTTACTTTCCATTGTGCTGTATATGCACTTACCGTATGCATCAATTATTTTGCTACTTCCCTGATTAAATTGTAAAACATTTCACTGGGAATCCATGAATTTGAAAACCAGTGAATATTATTGCTTTTATGATATATACAGTGAGTAATCACACAAACTAAAACCATTGCAGTGGGCATGCAATTATAAAGTATATTGAAACTTAAGTATTAATCATGTAATCATTTGCCGCCTGGAATTATTTCTTTGTTGTTCTTGTAACTTTTTATTGCGTCTCGCTTTCAGCATTCTCTGAATAGCCTTTGTAACAAACTCCCCTGCCTTGAAGAGGGTTAAAAAAACTCCACAGAGAACTCCAACAGTGTTCCACACAGACATAGTGTTAACTATATGATTTTGTTGTATGTATTTGTCTCGCCATTCATAAAGCACGAAAAAGAGTTCATTGACTCTTTCCTCCTCAGGTCGGATGTCATTGTATTTTACCATAGACTCCTGCGAAGTAAAAAAAGAAGATCAATCTCTGTAATTTCTCTACTCCACTACTCAATCACCAGTCGAATTTAATCAAGATTAACCAGAAGTTGAACCACACAAGTTGGTGTATAGTAAATGAATCTTGGCTAGTGATGGCTGCCCCCACCATTAATTACATTGACTAAGATAGGGGGTCAACCCCTTCAGTGTTCAACCTCAGGCAGATGTATATTGATAATGCATTGGACTTACTCATGCAATACATCTACAGTACATACAGTAAATCTACACTTTTATACAGGATTTTAATTACAAATTTATTTCACTGAATCTTTTTTTAAAGAATTCAGAAAAGGTTGATGTAGATTTAGCCATATTATTTTGTTGACTACCGAATTCTAATGAAATATCTGGTCTGTGTGAATTACAAATCTAGGCAATGACAGAGAAATAAAAACAAATGCAACAATGGTTTTTAACATGCTATGATTGAAACATTATGCGACTCCTACAATATCACAAACTTTATTTAAATACAAAAAAGATCAAACAAACACAATAAAAATTTACCAACCGAAACATCAAAAACAGAGTTAAATGATCCATTTAAATAATACGTCTCCATCAGCGACATTCGTATCCATGTTAGCATTCCACCAGAAAATGTCCACGTTGGGTTATCAATATCAACCTGTCTAATAAACCCTTCCTTGTTTGAACTGGTAATATAATAAAGAAAAAGTTAGAATTGTTTTCCATCTGTTGAACTGTGATATGATTGGAATGATGATATTCTGATAGAGAGAGGCTATTAAATGTCAATTTAGTGTATAGCAGTAGAATTACCAGTATTTGAAGTTATCACCGGATATCAATTGTTCGTAGAGTTGATTGATATGAGTGATGTCATGTGCTACCTGGTAGTATTATCCACAAATCGAAGGTGAGTAAATAATACAGCCTGTGATGCCAAAGTATCAACTGGCTATAAGAATAAGTGATATCAGGTGACAACCTCTTTTATCACATGATTAATTCTGATTGTCAGAAAAACAAAGAAATCATGATTTACAGAGTTCTAAATCATACGCTTATTTATACTACCTTAGTCATATGTCTAAGTGCGCCAATTGCAGTTACAGTTCCCGCCGATAGTTTTTAAATGTTCATAATTAAATGCAACAGAAAAATACAGTACCCCATGGATTCTGACTATCCAAAAGAATGATTTCGCAGAGCACTCGATGCATCACCATGGTATAAGATTTGGGTTCATGAAATGGCGCCCTCTACAGTCAAGATATTTCACAATAACCCAGACTGTAAGGCCAACAAAAAATTACAGAAAACATGGTGGCAGCAATTTTGTGATTGATTGAATGCATTTTCAGAAATGTTACTGCCCCTGCAAAGCTTCATCAGAAATTATTGTCCAGCGGTTTAGAGTTATTGAAGCCAGCTGGCCATCATTTCTCATTAGTCAATCTATCTAGGTTGCGCGCTTTCATTGAATCAAACTCCTACAAAAATCAATTAGATAATATTTTCTGATTTACTCATAATTCAGATCAAGGGTGAATTCTTTAAATATTTGTTTGTATATGCATACCTAGCTTTTAGCAGTTCTCTAAAAACTGATTTCTCTTACTAGGGACAGACATCTGTGAATTTTTATCGCTCAGCAAACATCACAGTGAAAACAACTAAAAGGCCAAAAACTTCCAGAAAACTGTACTTTGGGATGGTTGTTGAGAGTCTCCGAAACAGTGTAACAAGATTACCCCTACATGTACAAAATAACAAATTTGGTTGCTCAGGATTACTTCAAAGTTGAGTTTGTGCCGTTCTCACCGGTTCTTCGACCGGCGTTCCACAGGAGCTCGCGCAGAGCTAATAGAATTAAATGGTACAGTGGTTTGTGTCTTAGCAGCTTGTAACGTCTTGTGTTGTAGCTCTGCCCTGAGAATATGTAAACATTTATTGTTATGTGCCCTGCCATGCACATGCACAGTTCTGATGACAGTGCTGCTATAATGAGACTTAGTCTCAAAATTTTCAACTTATAAAAGTGACAAATGAAAGGCTCACCTATTACTGAATGTATTCCAATTTTGAAACAGTAAATACTCGATTCCGCTGAAATTCCTTGCAGTTTGATTTAGGCTAAAGTTTATAAACAGTATTTCCTTATCGTGTACATTCATTGGTCCTTTAAAAACAATAGCCTTACGATACCTCTCTGGAAAATAAGGGTCTGGGTAGACAACCTCTTCATTAGTACAGTTTTTGTGATTAGGGTTTATATCTGGGGGATCTACCAGGTCATAAAAATATTTGCCACAACTTAGAAACTTGGCATTCACATCTGTGGAATAAATCACAATCCCTGGAAAAAAAATCAAAAATTGGAGAAATGAGATATAGTAAAGTAGAAATTTGTTTCAATAGTCTGTAAGCATGACCCCTAAAGGTCACACATCCTGGTACTTGCATGACCCCTAAAGGTCACACATCCCTGTACTTTCTATGGATATTGTTGCCCTAAAACAGCAATAAGAATAAATAAGAAAAATCTCATTTATAAACCTTCTTTGAGGTCATACATACTAGTATGGCTGGCACATATACATGTTGCAAACACATAACTATGATCATCACAAACAAAATGTGAATGGTGTTCAATGACTAGCTAGGTTAGATCAGAGTTAGAACTCAGATTTCTTATAAGAAATTTCATGGCCTCCACAATTGAATTTATATATCTGAGATAATGATATTGAAATTATCAACATTTGCAAGCACTGATAATAATCATAAGTCTAAAAATGACAATATGATATATGTACATGTACCTTTGGACAATGAGTTACAAAAATTGACATTAAGAGATGTCAACAGAGTTTCTAGAAACTTGGTTGGGGTACTCAGGTAATGGTATGTAATTATAGTGATAACAATTTTGACAAGAAATGCAAGGCTACGCTATTATCTATGTGCTTGTTAGAATGAAAACCATTACAAATACACTGCATATATAGGGTGGGAGTGGCTGGTTGGTATACCATTGATTGTTTTTCTCAATAATAGGCATCCATCATTACATCATAACAGACAGGTAAATATAGACAACAATAAATTTGCAGTTTAGACAACAGAAGTAAACAGACCTATACAAATACAGTCAGGAATACAAATGTACAATCTTGAAACTGAGTAAACATCACTAGATTCAATAGAAAAACACAGACACACAGACAGACACACTAACTGCAAAGACTCCCTTTTTGTGCTTCGCACACAGGAGTCAATAAATCAATGATAAAATTATACCATATTTACTCTATTAGAAGCACATGTCCAATAGAAGCGTACATACAATATGTGAGCTTATTGTAAGCTGGATCATTAAATTACCCGATATGACTTAATTTTAGACATAGACTTATATCTGCCCTGAACTAAAGTGCATATGTTACTATTTATATAGAGCCAATATGGTATTGTTATCTAGTCATATGCCCCATCAGTATACAATTTGATACAGAATATAGAACAAAACTATTTTATAAACTCTGCAGGTATTTTACAATACATTGCAAAGTAACCAGTGGGAGATGTTTCACACATAATGCCTATGGGTGATCTCAAGCTTTGCAATTACAATGGCAGTTGTATCTGAGTAAAGACAGTCAAAATGACATAAGCAAAAAACTTCTACAGTCGGCTTCTAATGTATCTGCTTTATATCAGACCTTTTTCTGTCAGTAGTCAAATATTTTTGAAGTTTTAAAGTGCTTGTCACTGCAAGTATATACTTACCGGGTGGCAGGTACATATCTGTTTCATTATATTGGATGGAAGCAACAGGATGTTTTCGAGATTCCATCAAATCACTGATAGTTTGATATGCAACAATTCCAGCTGTTGAGAATAAGGTCACGTAGAATAGAGTGAGAGCTGCTTTCATAATATCCCCCAGGACAGATTTTCCACTTTTACATTGTGGAGTTACTGATTCATTTGAAGCTTGGATTAAATTCACGGTGTCGCCATGGTAATCAACTGGGTTATCCTCGTCACTATTACCATTGTTAATACAGCACGGACAGCGCCAGCATTTACCTGTGGTATCCATAAGTGTCTGCAAGGAAGGAATAAAAATGTTGAATTTATTCCAATGTGGTATTAGAGCATTAAAGATAATCATATGACAAGTTGAATGTAAAATATAGGAAAAAAGATATACTCGCTGGATTTTACTGAAAATCAAGAAAATAAATTCCAAGCAAAAATAAAGTATTTCACACTAAAGCATCATAAGAGTCTAGTTGGTTCTGTACAGTTCATAACAAATCCTATCCAACAGAATATTGATCAAATTGTAACAATATAAAAATTGTAAAAAAAAAATAATGTAATTTTGCTAATGATATTTACTGTATCAGCCATTTCACATCAATTATCAAATGACTGCTTGAATTAAGTAAATAATAATGATGCATTAGAAATATGGTCTTTCAAATTGATAAAGTTGAAAAGTGACATTCTATTATTTTACAGGAAATAAATGAAAGTTTTTCCAATTTACAGATAAAGCAAATTGTACAAATTACAGATGAATAAAATAGCTGATTACATTTTACACCTTGCACATGTCTACAAATTTACGTTTTTTTATTTATTTAAATTACATTATTAAGAAAATAAAAACAATTAATTACAGCTTACGAAAATACCCCTCGCCGACCCCTCTCTAAAATACAGATATTTCCTACTATACCATGGTAATCACCGAAAAACAAGTATCATCTTGGCATCAATAGGAGTTTATTCTCTTTAGCTCTATGGTTATTCCAACCACCTGTAGTATTGTTTACATGATAGTGTTATGGTTATGGTACCGTTTACATTCACCCACAGTGGGCGGATTACATGAAGTAATCATCTATACGTCTGCACAGACCATGGAGCTTCCATGCACAGACAGAGCACGTCGTGTTTCTGAAAATGAAAAATTGGCAACTTTCCGTCTTTAGTTGGGCGGAAAAAAGTCACTGTGAAAACACAACAAATGGTAATACCTTGTTTGTTAATTGAGCACACTCCAGTTAATATTCCCTCGGCATCTCGATGTTGTTTTTCTGACCCAATGCAGATTGTTTGTACAAGTTCTTGGCAAAGCAGCGACTGGGACTGTGTACTGAAAACAATATGCGAGTTCGCGTCGGGGCATATCACAACTTCAAAGAAAAGTAAACGCTGAGGTAGTTCCCTATCGGCTGAAAGTTTCAAAGCAGATAAATGTTCGAAGCTACACCTGACTGACACCTGACCGACAAAATCAACCTTTGACCGCTAGATTATTCAACTTCCGTTCGCAATGTATTGTTGGTAATGATACGTAAGCTTTACGGGAAAACTCAAAATGGTGTACGTTTCTGAAGGTGGGTGACTTGTCTTTGTCTAATATTTGACTGTTTTGACTTTTATGAAAAGTGTTTCTGATTAATAAAAACGGTGTTAGTTCTGTGAACATGTATAGCAGGTAAATATTGTGAGTTTCTCACGAGAATATTGATATTCCGAGATGAAAACAGTGAAATATTGAAAGCGCCGCAAAACTGCCGTGAGTAAGCAAAGTTTGAACGTGTTTACTTCCGGATACGTCGATGACGTTGTATTCTGTCGCCTTCGTCTTGCAATATAAGCAATACAAGACAAACGATGAATGTTATTTAATTTCAAGCGAATACAACTATGTGCACAGTAGTTCGCATTGATTTTCTAATTGCGAACACATTAAATGCAAATTGTCAAGGCTGTACTCTATTTTGGAGTTTAAAAGGTGG